AGGTCAATCTGACCGTAATGAAACTTTTTGCAACATATATAGTACTGTTCCAAAAAAATTAAAATTTCTTGATCTTGATGTTTATGTATAAAGAAATTTTAATGAGTTTTTCACTATTCGAAACCTTTTGTTAATGGTTTAAGGTGTGATATCAATCATTTTAAAACTAATTTGTCACATACATTGTGAGATATCAGTGATGGAACTCATTTCACAACAAAATATTGAAAATAGCAGTTTGGCGCACTCATGCGGTTTCAGTGTTTATTTTGACGAGTTTTTGGTGATATCAACCACATGATTCCGACTGAGGATGAAAAGTAGGATTACCATCATTTCCGCGGTTGATAATAAACCCGTCGATACATTCGAAGAAACTGACAGAAAATCCAAAAATGCGCTCAAGTGATCAGGTTCTACGTGTAATCAGAAACTGTATCATTGACCTTATATCCGTAATTTTCAGGTATTGATCCTTGATTTTTAGAAATCTGTGGACGTCCGCGTAACAAAGGCCCTCTTTATCGATTCTAGTTTCCAAGATATTCATGTTTTTAGGGTCCTTTTGGACTTAAAATATGAGAAAATATCAATAATATCGGAGTGTATATAACTCCATATCAGATCTATCCCTCATTTTTTGGGACCTCTTGATCCTAAATAGATTTTCTCATTGAAATCTTGAGAAAGAATTCGAAGAATTCAGGATGAAGACATTACAGCGTCTTAATTACAAAATAATCTCGTGAAATAATGGGAAATTTCGGTGAAATTATCTGAAATCTAATACAAACTTTTTACCTCATTTTCAGGCGAATATTACTAGAATTGGTAAGAAACAAGCAGGGGTTCGAGCCTATTCATTTCTACCAATTCCATTAGTAGTGAGCTTCCGAATGGATCCGTAGCAATTCCCTATCCTTGTGACAGGCATACAACCGCAACCACATGCTACCAGGTGTCTACAGGAAAATATTCAACCTTTTAATGAGAAAGATTTATGCAAAGGTTAAACTGCTCGGCCGGTTACGCCCATTCAAAATACCAACCTTCAGTATTGTAGGAACTATAATCATACCAAATTTCAACATGCTATCCTCGTTTTTTTTCAAGTTAAGGTGAATGTCCCGGTAGCCAACTCTTTAAGGAAGAGTCGATGAAAGAACATGCATAAAAATAAATTCGGTTATATTGGTCATAGAGGAATTAATCTAGAGGATTATCCAACTTTATTTGACCGAAAACAATTATTTTTAGCTATAAAAATATTAAACAAGCATCAAACTAAACGAATTTATTATGTAAGAGCTATGTCCTAGTAGTTGAATCCAAAAAACGTCCATCTCCCAATACCTGAATCCCCATGTCCCAGTAGTTGAATCATAAGTTATTGCCACGGAAATCTACACTTAATAATAAATATCGTTCATTAAATAATAGACTGGTACGAATATTATGACATATGGATCATCATGACATTCTGCAAATAGAAGAAACATTCAGTAAGCTTCCTCAATAAAATAACACTCTTCAGATTCCAGTCGGTAGATGTGCAGATTCTAAAATTTCTCTGTAGAGGAAAAATTTAGTTTGAAGAAAAAAAAATTTCTGTTTATTTTATTCACGTACACTGAAGGATTTTCGATAGTTTCACTGATGACAATATCTCACACGTGTAACAATACGAAACTTAATAGTGAAACAATGAATTCAGCTACTCGGACATAGGTTAGGCCTGATAGCCCAATACCTGAATAGCTATTTATTGGCATAAAAAATTGTTTTTCTAGAAATTTTTACTACTTTTACGAAAGTTTAAGTCAGTCCCTGCTTGATGAATTGTTTAAATAATTTTCGAATACTCGCATGACTGAATGAATCACTATCATTTGATGAGTCACCTCTTAGTAGTTGACACTAGGAATCGGACCGAAGGGAGCAATTCAAACGAGTATCAACTTTAATTGTTGAATCCAAATTATTTTAGGAATACCAACCGCATGGAATTTATTTCGTTAGAATCATTGAAATCCTACGCTTTTTAGAAAAATTAAATATCATCCTTTTTGAGAAGAAATAATTACTTATCGAAAGAAATTGGCAATCGCATACTCACCGATTCAGCTATTGGGAATGAGTCAGGTACCGGGACATTTACCTTACCGAGTGTACAAAAATACCCAAAAAAAAGTACTGATTCAAGTCGACGTCGGTTTGATTCTGACCGATTTTCGGTTTGATTCCGATCGACTGACTCAGACTACGCCAATCCGGATTTCGGGTCTGATATAAGTCGAAAATCGGTTTATTTCAAATAGAAACGGGTTATGCCGACATCGGTTTGAATCAAACTGAAAAATCGGCCTGAATCAAACCGAAAAATCGACTTGAATCATACCGAAAAATCGGTTTGAATCAAACCGAAAAATCTGTCTGAATCAAACCGAAGTCGGTCTGATTCAAGTCGATTTTTCGACTTGATTCAGACCGATATTCTGGTTTGCATATGTCCGAGTCCGACTTGATTCATGCCGCCAATTTGACATGAAACAAGACGATTCCCGGCATGATTCAGACTGATTTTTCGGTCTGATTCAGACCGACTTTTTTTTGGGTATAATGATGAAATTTAAAAAACGAAAATCTTGGATACTTTAAATGAGGAGCATCATATAGATAGTGGCTGTCGAGACGAGTATTAAAAAAATTGAAATCCGTCAAGTAGTTCATGACACATGTGAAGAAATATATTTCCATAAAAGGTTGCCTATCTCAGGAACTGCTCGGCCGATTGCGCCCATCCAAAATACCAAACTTTAGCAATGTAAGAGCTATGGTAATCATACCAAATTTCAACTTCCTATCCTCATTTTTTCTCAAATTACCGCGCGTAAAATATTTTTCATGAAAAACGGAAAAACGGCAATATTTTCAAACTGTGTATTAAAGAGTCTATAAATCCTGATTGACCTACATAGAGGCCATCGAAACGAGTATTTTGAAAAAAAAAGATTGAAATCGGTGCAGTAGTTCTTGAGATATTGAGGAAAAGCGAAATTTACACAAGTTGTTATATCTCAGGAACTACTGGACCGATTGAACTGAAACAGCGCCCCCAATTTGAGCTCAATAATAGCTATAATGACCCAAAATTTCAGATTTTTCCTTATAAATTTCACCGTATTAATGTCCAATTTTCTAAAAACTAATCACAAAAAACCCAAGTTGTCGGATACATACATCCAGACATGGCCCTAAAAACATCATTTCTTTATGTTTCATAACATTCTAGATCATTTACAATCAAAATTAGAAAATCTAAAAATCTATGAAAAAAAAGGCTTCCAAGGCAGCAAAAAAGTTGTTTTCATAATTTTCACAAATTTAATTTTAGAACTGCGTGTCGTTAGAAATTCTGTGTTTCCCTGGTGCCTAGTTTTTTCGCTGCAATTAATTAAATCTTTATTCTGTCGTTCTCTTACATGAAAATCTGCAACAGAACATAATATTGTTTTCCAGAACATAACAAGTCTTATGTTACCGGCTAATTCGTATAATTTATGTTTCTTCGGAGCTCCCCGGCTCCCGAAAATCACCGTAAAATGCCGCAGTGACGTCATGCCGACGGACGCGACGATCGCCGCGCCACGTCGTAGTCGTCGTCGTCGGCGAGTAATTTTCCCCACTCCCTCTCGCCTCCCCTCTTCTTGGTGGCGCTCACGCGGTATCGCGGAAGCGCCCTTAAATCGTTCTAAAAATAGACACACCGTCGGAAGGACGTAGATCGTCACGTGGTATACAGACTGGCGTTCCTGCTGCCAGGATAATAGCGCACCCGCTCCCTCTCGTTTACGTCATCAAGCCAACTGGGCAGTAGTAACCACCCGATTCAAACCTATTCCTCCCACTCATCCAACCCTCCTGCCCGGATCGTAGACATCCACCCACTGTCTACACGCCCCTGCTTCTTCGTGAAGATAAAATATTGAGTATTATCATTTTCGCTTCGTCATTTTTGCTTTCAACAACTACTCGACAACTTTCATCAGTTGTTCCCCATTTCCATCATTTTTTTCTTCGAAATGAGCAAAATAAATTGATTTTTCAGATTCAAATAATTGTTTTCCAAATTAAAAAATCAGCAAATAAAAATCAAAGATACAAATTTATTGACTACCGCCAAAGACCTAGTTATCGGACACTCAGCATCAGTTTCCGGACAGACACATAAAACGCGATAACTTTATTTCTCTAGGGAACAAAATGGTTTTGTGGGTCTTGTCTGGTGTCTCTCAGTGATTCGAACAATTTTTTACCCGACAATTAATAATGCAATTTATTCAGGCCACAGAAATCCCAGAAGTGTCCGGTTACTGGAGCCCCTCCGGCAACTAGCTCCTTGCCGGGGTTATCTTCATTCATCGAATCTTCTTTTTTGCGTAAAAAAATTAAAAAAAAAATGTTTTCGGTGAAATGAATAAAAAATTCACCGAATAATTTTTTAAAACGATTTCATTTCCTTATTTTCCGTCTACAAAAATTTGATTTTCGATATATTATGACGAAATCTTGCACAGAATAATATCCCCATTTTTCCCGGCTGTGAAGATTGAGATAGTGGGAAAAAAAGTGAATGTAAAAATCCGGAGGCAATATTTTCATTCCTCTCAAACGACGAAAAAAATGTCAAAGACGTGAGGATGAAAGAATGAGCGAGAGAGATAGGTCAAACAGCGCCCTGAGGGAGGATTGGAGGGTTTTTTTGTCAGCTACGAGCTACTGGGGTAGTGTCACAACGTGAACCAATGGAAATCCCAGGGTGTTCTCCCCCTTTCAATTCAAGATGGCGCCACACATCGCGCAAGTTCGTAGTTTATACCCTCTCCCACCTCCGGTCATTCTGTACTTCAACCAACCCCTCTCCCCTCCCCCCTCGCCCTCTTCGCGAAAATCCGCCGCAGAGCTGCGCTCCGTCAGAGTGCTTTAGACGTCGCGCGAACGTGAGCTTTCGTCTCGGTTAGAGAATTCCACATATATATTTTTTTTGTAAACGCAACCAGTAATTAATTTTCCCGAGCAGAACCAAAAGTTCTATCCAAAAACGTAGAAACAAAATTCCCATCATTCATCATTATTTCAATGTTGTGCAATAGTGATGTGTCAGATAAACAATTGATTTAAAACATCATAACAAAAATACTGAGGATTGAATCGAGGATGGAAGTGGTGGGGGTAATGTCATCGTTGGTGTCTTCGTGCTACTACTCTCTTTTACACCAAAAATCCTCACCTGGAATGTAAAAATGAGGGGTGCAGCAGTATCATGACCACTGTGAGTAAATAAAACTGTCAAAACAACTATTGAAACCCTCATTAACTCTTTTATCAGTCTGAAACCCATAAATATATCCGTAAAATCTGGAATAAGGATCTTGAACGATTTTTTTTTTTCGCCAACCTCTGCATGGAGCCCAGTAATCCAGCATGAATGAGCAATGGCGGCGCAGAGACACTAAACTTCTCGTAACAGTAAACTCTATCTTCGGGGTATCTGTGTACATGTCCCACTAGTATGGATATTGTGGGCGTTTGGTTTGTGTGGTGAGGGTGAATAGCAGGTTGGTCGGCGGGGCGGGGGGGAGGTGAGGGGAATTTCGATGGACGTATTACTGGTGCTACGGTGGAAACGCGTCAGCAGTGTGTGGCTAAGGGCGGGGGGGGG